AGAAGGTCCTTTCCAGCTACTGCAGTTCTCCCCCCTGCCACCCCCCCCCCCCCCCGGGAGGGAGCCGACAATCCAGCCAGGCCTCAGGTGGCCATTCCTGCCACGACCCCCCGAAAAGCAAGTTTCTGGAGCAAGGCAGCAAATCTTTTGCTGCTGCTTCTTCTGGGGTCTCCTTGGTTTCAGAATCTGAAGCTCAGGAGGGTGAAGGGTCTCTGAGTCCTTGCTGCTCACCTTAGGTCTGCAGGGCGTTCCAGGTTCCCCATCACTCACAGCAGCCCCGGTGCCCGGGAGCCGTCTCGCCTACAGAGAACCCGGAGCCCAGAAAGGCCAATGGCCTGAGCCCGCACAACGGCCACTGCTCAGGCTGAGTCCGTTTTCCACGCCAGGCTGCCTTTGTGTGATTGTTATTTAACTTGTCCTTCAGCCTTGGAAAGCTGGGATGGGCGGAAATGACACTCCTCTTTGTTGAGTTGGAACATTGAATAACTAATTTATACTGAAACGGAGGCAGGTCCCAACACCTGGCGGGATTCGTGTTTTAGGTAAAAACCACCTGGAGATGGGGTGCTGCAGATAAGCAGGGTGCGAGGGTGGGGACCACCAGGGACAGCCGAGTACTGCCTTCAGGGCACCTTTTCACTTTCCAACAGAAAGTGACAATGCCTTCTGCCTCAGTTTCCTCTCTACAGGAAGCCCCCATCTTCCCAGGGGCCGAAGGGAGGAGGGACTCGGGAGTTATGGTTTAGTGGGTACAGTTTCAGTTTGGGATGACGACAAAGTCTGGAGATGAGTAAAGTGACGGTTGCACGGCTTGTGAAGGTGTTGAATGCCGCTTAGAAATGGTGAAGGTGGTCCATTTTATGTCCCGTATGTTTTACTGCAGTTTAAACAATACAGGAAGGGGACGAGGCTGATTAGTTTCCCAAGTTTTTGTCGACTCTGAAAGTCGATGATTCTGACCCTAATTAGAAATTTTCTCCCCATTTAGCTTCACCTTTCTAAGTGTCTTCTCTCCCTCCTCTGTCAGAACCTCTCCCCAAGATCCCAACCCCGTTCTTCCTGCAGATAATGCTCCTGAGACAGTGCTCCGAGCTGGCGCTATGCCCACGGGTAAGGTCGCACCAGATGCAATGTACAGTCTTTCTGGAATCCTGACCCCCTTCTCCTCTGATGGATTGACCTTCTCGGCTCTAAGTAGTATTGGGCATTAAAAAAAAAAATAAGATGCATATAATTAACTGCGCTTGACCTAAAGACTGGGTGAGGAATCTTTGTCCCTGAGGACAGAGGCTGGGAGGCGGGTCAGGCCTCCCCGGTCGAGTGCAGGATGTGGCCGAGCAGCTGTGCCGGGCGGGAGGGCAGGTGCTGGAACCCAGCCTCCACACCGTCTTGGCAGCTCCTTGCTTGGCGTGGGTGTGGGAACCTGCCTCACCAGAGTCCTAAGAGAATCCAGAATCAGTCCGGCTTCTCAGAGGTGGGTGTTGGCTGGAGGGCCGCTCTGAGCCTCAAGCCCCAAGCCTGCTCTGGCCTGGGTTCCGGGCAGACACGGGGCGGGGCAGGACGGAGAAGCTGCCAGGTGGGCACCATCATATCTACCCCCCTTTTCAGCGAATGGCAGTCTGCGCTCTATGCGGCCCTGGAAAGTGGAATGAATGTTCACTTGTTCCCAGGAGAGCCGAGGGTTTGTGTTTTGCCCGATTGGACTCTTACTCCGCATAGAAACCTTCATCTCAGCTCTCACAACCCCTCCACTCCTGTCCCCAAAGTGTGGCCAGTGCAAGGCCAGGAAGGTGAGGAAGGAAGCCGACCCAGGGTCAGCTCCCAGGCATTTCTGGAGCTGTGGCCAGGGGCCAGCGGGCGGAAAAGGGGTGCTGGGCCACAAGGGACCATGCAGTCCTGGAGGCAGCCTGTGGAGGCGAGCGGCATGGCTGGCGGTGCTGGGAGGGGGTTGTAACGGAGAACATGCACAGGTCCCTGCAGTGGGAGGGATGAAAACACTGGAGCAGAATTCCCTCCTTTAGATACCGGGGTGTCCTCAGAAAGCTTTGTAAACCAGATTCCTAGGGTCCAAGGTGATGTATTGTCCTCTTAGCTGTGAAGGATGTGCCCACTTCTCCCTAAAATAGTGTGGTGGGACATATGCCAGCTCCAAGGGCAGCAAGCAGCTTGTTTAAGCAAGGACCCTGGGAAACAGCTCCTTATTGGGACCCTTCAATCCACCAAATGAGAAGGAAAGGATGCTTGGATAGTGACATGCTGTGGAGGCCAGGTAAGAGCCTATACACGGCTAGGAGTGGCATCGACGTGCTGGCACAGGACAAAGATAGGTAGCCGACAGGGCAGGATGCAGCAGCAACCTAGCATGGCAGGCACACAGGGCCGGGGGGCCAGCCAGGGCTCCAGACACAGGCTCCGGGCCACGGGAGTCAAGTAAAGCTCAGTAGAGCACAGGGACACATTCCCAAGGAGGCAACACCCATAACCAGGTTCTGAAGACAGGAGTGAGGCTGGGGACCAGGCGGACCTGGGAATGCTGCCCAAAGCTCTCACTGTAGCAGCAAGTGGCCTTCTGGAGGCGGGCCTCCCACCTGTTGCTCAAGCCAGGTCTTTCAAGCACCGCTCTCTCCCAGGGCACCTTCGGCCAGTCTCCTCTGCAATGGACAGTGCACCGAGGTTCTACTTAAGGTTCTACTTACCTTCCCCTTGAGGACACTCTCAGCTCACAGGGAGCAGTGTGACATCCTGTATCTTACTTGTTATTTGTGTCTGAAAATCCTGAGCTAGCCGGGGTGCTGCTTTCCCTCTGCACCTGGGTTAGCTTCACGGCGGCAGCACCGTGCACAGGGGCTCGCTGACACGTACAAGGAGCATATGAAATGTGTGAGGGCTACACGCGCACCAACCACAGGAAACGCTGGGTTCACCCGAATATCTGCAGCTTCCAGCCACGTACCCCTAAAGAGTCCCAGGGCATTGGAATGTGAAAACCTTTTGGACACGCATCAAGACCGAGTTTGGCTTTCCCGGGTTCGGCATGGACAGCCTCATGCTTTTGCTGAGGACCTGCCTCCTTCAGCCGTGCAAAGTCTGCAAGCGCTGGAGGAACAGGAACCTAGGAAATGCGTGCAGCTCACAAAGCGGGACTGAGATGTGTGTGAGTGCGCATGCACACGCTTAACTAATGCAGAATGGCCCTTGGTGTGTGCTCCTCTCCAGGCCGCATTTCCGTGCCCACTTTTCCCTCTAAAGTAAGGTGACCAGATGTCCCGCTTTTGGCAGGACAGTCCCACTTTTGAACAATTTGTCCCGCATCCAGCGGCATTTTAAAAAAGTAACGCCGTGAGACGTGGGGCAAATTGTTCAAAAGCGGGACTGTCCCGCCAAAAGCGGGACATCTGGTCACCTTACAAAGGGCCGAGTAGCAAAGCCACTCTTCTCCCCCAGGTCCCCGCACTGAGAATGGTCCCAGATTGCTTCTGGAACACAGATATCTGGCTTTCCCCTCCCTCCGCTCACAGGTGGCATCTCCAATCATGCCAGAACACTTAGGCTGGCGATACAGGGCCACCAGGCAGCTACAAGCCTACAAGCCGACAGGTGTGGGCCCCACGGGAGCTGGGGCCTCTCCCACAGAAGGCAGGGAAAGCAGAGCCAGATCCCCAGCTTCCTAATGCTCACTTCCTCTCAGCGCGGAATGGTGCACAGACCCACCCCTGCCAGATGTAGCTCTGCCGCAGCCACAGGGTTTTGTCCTGGCGGGACCCCCACTTCCAACCGCTTGTCTCTGGCCGATTCAACTCCATCGCATCTTCCACAGCTGACTGCCACGTCTCGGGCAGCGTGGTCGTGCTTGGGTTTTGTGATGGCGTCATAATACGGTGGTGGATTTCTTTGGGATTAGGTCAAATTAAATTTTTTTTTAAAAAAAATCCATCTTATTTAAGTGAAAAACTTAGGGCTATAAAAAGCACAAGTTTTTTTTTTTTTTTTTTTTGTTTTTTTTTGTTTTTGCTTTTTAAATTCTCTGCTTGTCCTAAACTTTTATCCATCAGTGGAGACGGAGGCACAGATACGGAAGAAAGCATTTCAGTGAATTCTGAAAATGATAGGTTGCTCGAATTCTCCAAGGTTTGCACATTCACTACGGCTTCGTTCATTGGTATTGCAGGTGAGCATCCCGTTACTATGTCCTATAACCCCTCATGGTTTTCAGCCGAGAAGGAGCTGGAAGGTGGTTTGAAGCTCTTGTGGGTGCAGGTAGGGGTTCCATCCCGCATCCCTGTTACCCCGGGAGGGAAGGCCCAGGGCCGCGTTTCAGTCTCCCTGTCTCTGGTGAGAGGGCCGTCTCAGGGCCCTTTTCCTGGGGGTGGGCACAGCCACTGCCCGGGAGCTCTGAGCGCCGGGCAGAGGCAGGTGTTGGCGTTGCTGCCATTTCCCATTTGCTGTCAGCCAGCTGTGACTGGGTGCCAGGTCTCTGCAAAACTATGGTTAGAACATGACTTTGCTGGAGTCTTGAGGGAGGAATAGGCCCCATTGGAAGAGCCAGATAAAGAGAACAACGGGGAGAGAAAAAGAGGAAACAGGGAGGAGGGAGTAACAGAAGCGGGAAAACTAAGACAAATGGGTTCTTGTCTCTCAGCTGCAACCCAACCACTGCTTATAAAGCCATTTCCCATGAACAAAAAGTTGTGTTCTAAGTTCCCAATAATGAAGCTGGGTGTTTTCTACACAAAGCCAAACCCGCCAAAGAAGAAAACAAGCAAGCAAGCATTTAAGGGAAACGGAATTGTGTGTTCTTAAAAAGACCTCTAGGTTGGATTTTCTATCAAAATCCAGCTGCATTGCATTTGTTTGCTTCAGTTGGAATGGAACACCCTGAGAGGCCCTGACGTAACGATTTTCCCTCGCCTGATTGATCCCTTCCGCACGGCCACGGTCACAGAGCACATAAAAGAGACAATTATCATCGTAGGAAATAGGACAACAATAGCTGCTTCTACCTCCATGCTAGTATTAGGGTCAAGATCGTCACACTCTGACTCCTCGGAGCTGTTCGTCTCCTTGGTGGGCAGCATGAGGAAGGGGGAGAAAGAGAACACAGTTAGAACACAGGCAGCTTTGGCGAGCGAGAGCGAGGAGAACGTCAGAGAAGCGTGGGCAACGGGCAACCGGGCAGAGGAGGACCCAGGCGGGGTGTGGTCGCCAAGGCGGCAGCATGCTCTTGTCAGGAGCGGAGGCTGGGAGCGTGTGCAGCCGCTCATCCCACGGGAACTAGCAATGGAAGCAACTGCATGAAGCATGAGAGCTGTCGGATCGAGACCGTGATCTTCGGTGAGGCTGGCCTTCCCAGATGAGAGTGAAGGAGGGAATACAATTTCTTTTCCCCAAGAAGGACGTTAGCATGGGTGTTGGGCGTTCTCATTTTGCTCAGGAAGGGGCGTGGGGGAAAGTGCCAGGTGGATAATCACATGTTATAGCACAATGACACGTCAGCAGTCTAAGCCATTTTGCAGGGGCAAAGTGTAAAGGAAACAGATCACACGGTTTTGAGACAGGAGGCAACCGGGGTCTGCCGAAGCCTAGACTCGGTAGAGGCAACAGGTGGCTTAGGTCAGAGCAGACTTGGGCGTCCGCAATGTGCTACCCTTCCCTGCTGTGCATGGGCTGCAAAGTGATGTCTGAATTCTGGGGAAAAGAAATGAAACGTGGCCAAGAACACAGTGGCCCTTAAACTCCAAACCTCAGACTTCACAGGGTTGAGGGTTTGGAGAGCACCCCTAACCTCTTCACCCCACATGGATTGTCTAACCTACGATGCCAAATGGGCAACTTTGGAGAACTTTGTTATGAATCAAGCACCTTGCGTTTCTAAGAGAACAATGCTGCAGATAATTTTGCTATAAAACATCTGCACAATATAAAGTTGTGAAAGGAAAAAAAAAAAAAGAATACTTACTTATTTGAATCGAAGTTGCCAGGAGAAACAAAAAATAAAAAATAAATTGATCTTGCATGCAAAAACCTGTTCGTCTACCTCCCCTCTGGCTCCCACGCTGGGAAGGAAGATCCCCGTCCCCCCATTGCCTCATGAGGATGCTGCGGGGGAGTGGATGGGGTGGGATGCAGCTCCGGGGTCCTTACTCACTTTAACAGAGACTTTGTGGCCCAGAATATCCTTGGGTTTACGAGGCCCTGTGGCTTCATTTTTACCCGAGTTCTCCACTTCCGCCCGCTTTCTCATGCGTAGAGTATGCCATGAACAAGACTTCCTGTTGTACCAAAAAATGCACCAATCAAAATGGCAGGTCAAGGCAGAGAGAGGCAGCAGGCGGGTTGGCCACCTGTGGGTGCGTCAGTAGGTGAGGGGCTCCAGTCATGCCCCGGCGTCAGAGGCCCCAAACCTGCACGCCAGCTCCATGACCTCATCTCCAATGGGAAGAGAGCGAGGATGCACTGACCCGCCTGAGATGTGCAAGGTGGACCGCAGCGTTTGAGAAAAACATGAGCATTAGGTTAGTAAACGCTACCGGGGGCATTTATGAGGTCTTATAGGACTAAGGCAGTCCCTTCCTGAGGGGTTTGGTGGATAAGGGAAGAGCAGGAGGTGGTGGTAGGGGAGAAGGGAGGTAAGATAAAAGGAGTTTATTCTCTAGTGTTTAAGCTACTGGCACTTCCCCAGGATCAGATGTAGAGACCCAAAAGGATGATTTTTGAGGTTTCCGTCTCCTGATTTGTGTTTGGACTGTGGCCACTCCCAGACACGGTGGCACAGATAGGATCTCCGGGGGCATTGGACTCATTTATGGGGGTATCTTAGGAGAAAGGGTTTTTGGCCTATGTTCTCCACATCACTGGGTGTTTGTACCTGTGGGGCGTGGGCAACCACTAAGAGGTTCTAGGGTTTTCCTCTTGGGAGAAGAACCAATATGTGCTCTCCGGCAGGCGAGGGTGGCCACGCCCTTTCCCGCTGTCCTAACTTTTTTCCCATGAGGGGGGGGTGAGAGCTACATCTTCATAGACCTGCCCAGAAAAGCTCAGAGCAGAGCTCTTGGTATGTTAAGACTCAAAGACAAAGACACCAAAAGCCATGTCCCACATGGCACGGATGATCTTGGTCGGCCATCGTAATTCCAGGTGTGGCCACAGAGTCTGGATGAAGCTCTAATAGTGTCTGAGATAAGTGAGGTGAGTGAGGTTGGCTTCCCTTCAGTGTCTCATTGTCCAGCGTAGGCCTATGGCAGACCAGAACTCAGTGTAAAGAGCCTTCATTAAGGGAGAGAGAAGAGAGAGAGGCATATGAAGTTTAGGAGGATACCCCCAAAGGTATAACATCCCCTCCACAAATTCCACATATGTTAAGGGATTTTAGGAAGTTCTGAGAAAGGTGTCCCCCAAATATTTATCACTAACACACATGGTCAAAAATCTAACTTTCTGAGTATGTAAGAGCAATCATAGTCACATTCTTGAATCTTTTGGGAAAGTGGGCTCCTTTAAAAGGCAAGTCTCCTGGACAGACCTTTTCTTGTAGCTCCTAAAGAGACAGGCTGTGAGGGATCCCTACATGCCAGTTCCTAACCCCACCTGCTGTACCTGAGTGAGACCCAGTCATAGAAACTAATCTTAGGTGATAGCGCTCTGTTAATTGTAGAGTTTTATCTTGTATCTGCTTCAAATCCATGTTTCTAGTCCTCTCTGAGAATATGAGTCAGGCAGGTCCTTGCTGAAGACTCCTAGCAGATAGTGTGTGTGTGTGTGTGTGTGTGTAGACCCTCTGGGTCATTCTGGGTCATGCTTGGTGAGACACTAGAAACGTTACAAACAGTGCTCCGAAGGGGGACTCAGAGCAATATGAGTGGTAGTGGGACAGGCTCAGTTTCATGTTCTTCTTCCCAGGAGAACGCATCCTCCTGGTCTGGGGAGCTCCCATCTCTTGGCCACAAGCCCAGGGACTGATGTGGAAACAGGGTTTTGGTGACACTGACCCGTACGTTTCACACGGACTCTGACCTCTGTGGTCACAGCAGGCCCCGGGGGAAGGTACGGTGAGTGTCCTTTACTGATAAGTGACACCCACTCTCAGTCAGCTGCTTGGCTCCCCCCCTCTACCCGTTCCCCCACCACTCCCCCCACCTCCCCTTGTGTAAGAGCAGCTGACAAGGAACCAAAGCGACCAATTTGTATCGATTCTGTTCTCTCTCACCCAGCCTGACCCCTCCTTCCTTCCCTCCCACAGAAGATGTGAAAAAGTGACCAACAGACTGGAAGAAGACCTGATGATTAGATCACAAGTCATTCCGTGTCCATTCTGTGAAGCCACTGATTCATAACGTCAATGCTTTCAAGGCCTTTGTTCCCAAGGCTTCTTAAAGGGCACCGGAGCCAAGTGACTTTAGGATAAAATGCGTTGGGCCTCTTTGTGCCTTAGGGGCCACTACTGATTCTCAGGTTGCCTAGAAAGGCCAGGGCCAATTCAGCAGCCTCCTCCCTGGAGCTGCAGAAGGGCCAAAGACGCACATTTCCATCGGTGACCCTGCTCAGACATCTTACAGGAGCTCCTTCTGTCCCCGACAGCCGTGACCACACCGCATGGAAAGCAGTGGGGTGCAAGCCAAACACTACCTTCTACTCTAGTCATTCATTTACGTCAGCACCTCAAGGTCGCCCAGTTGGACAGTATCCAATCAGCCTCCTTCCTCCTCTGAGGTTAGAGAAAACCAACGGGGCTATTTAGAAGGGAAGACTGGGTGGGGTGGGAGCCTTTGCAACTGATTGTGTGGAAAAGACTGTCAGTGCACTCAGCCAACTTTGAAAGTATAGAAAAGAAAGGAAAACGAAAAGGGGTGGAGAGAAGAAGGAGGAGAAGGAGGAGGAGGAGGAAGAAAAGGAGAAGAAGAAGAAGGAGGAGGAGGAGAAGAAAAAAAAGGAGAAAAGAAGAAGGAGGAGAAGGGGAAGGAGGAGAAGGAGAAGGAGAAGAAGAATTCGCACATTTAAAAGTCCCAGAGTAGTGAAATGGGGAAAAAGGGTCAACTAGTCTTGAACCTCATTAAAACATGCTCATGGTGAAAATTTATTTTACATATTTAAAATAGTACATTTAAAATTATTAGTTACATTACAGGTACAATGATGAACATTGTGACTCTCCATTATATTGCACAGCCTGACTTCATCCATCTGGGTTTCTTTAAATAGTGCAAAATACTTTGTACAGGAATGTGTTCGGAAGGGTCTTTGCAACCAAAATCAGGAAAAAGAAATATCTTACAAATGACCATGAACATATATTAAACGAACAGGGAAGGGCAAAAAAAAAAAAAAAAAAGTACAATCTGTACAGAGGAATTGCCATAGACAACCAAAAAGTCCCCTCTCTCCTGGGAGAAGCAGCGGCCTCTGACCTGCACAGGTCTGGCATTTGTGCTAAGGTAATTTTTTGGTGTCAATCAAAAAAAAAAATATATATATATATCAGCAACTTAATCCAATATAAATAGAAGTCCAGTCCAGTGAATCCTGCGGTGGGCCACCCGGAGCCACGGAAGGCATGCTCTGTCACCTAGGGTCTCAGTAGGGCTCTTTTCTTAGCGAGAGGGAGAAAGAAAGGGGGGAAAAAATGAACAAAAATTATAAACAAAATGGAAAGGAAAACCACCGCCATTACCATCCATCCACAAAAACAAAAGACTCAGGACCCTCTGGCCTGGGTGCCGGGCTGCGGTGGCTCCGAGCCCTCATGCAACGCTTCTGTTGGTGGTGCTGTCGCGCGTAAGCGGCAGTAATTCCCTACCATGTGTTTGCACTTTTGTGTTCTTGGTTTGTTTTGGAATTTTTTTTTATATCCACATACTTCTCTCCCGGGGAAGCCACCGAGGCACTTACTTGATGCTCCCGTCACTATTTTCTGCGGCCGCCGTGGCTTTGGTGAGGGGCGCCAGGATGCTGCCCGGGACCCAGCCCTCGGCCGCGGGCGAGTGGTCGCTGGCGGGCTGGTACACCAGGCACATGTTCTGCTGGTTGACGGCGAGGACCTGGACCACCTCACCCTGGCTCACACAGATCTCGTTCTCCTTCAGTGCATAGTAATCTTTGATCACGGCCATGGACGAGGTCTCGTTGCAGCCTCCCAGGTCGCTCTGCTGCGGGACAGGGCGAGAGGGAGCCGGATACAAGAAGGCTGCTGCGCACCCGGCCCGTTCTGCAACCCGTGTGGGCAAAAGCCCAACCTCCCGCGAGCAGGGGGAGAGGATCTTGAGTAATAACATGGTATTCATAAACATACTCTTATTTCCTACAACACATAGGGTGTCCCCCCAAAAAACGTATACGCACACTTTGAATAACTTACAAAGGCAGTGATTATTAAAATACATTTCTTTTTCAAAGCTGAGCTATCAGGTGTTCAAGTGTGTGTGTGTGTGTGTGTGTGTGTGTGTGTGTGTGTGTGTGTATTTTTTTTGGGGGGGGCACCCTGTATAACCAAGGGTGAATAGGTAGAGATACGGCTGGCCTAGGGAAAGATGTAAATACACCTTCCGCCTGGAAGCCCCTCCCTAGCATGCAACCTTCCTGACTACGTCCTCTGATTAATGGAAGGAAAAGCATGGTACGGGCCCAGGGGCACATGCGCACCTGGGCAAAGTGGGGTCAGGGCAAAGGTCAAGCTAGAGGTCATAACCCCCAGGGGAAAGAACACAGACCCCTTGATACATTTTTTCTTCTTTTTGAAAAAAACATTGGTCTTACTCTGTTGCTACCTTCTGACCCTCCTTGAGACAGGACTAACAATGAGCCGTTTGCCCAATTCAAAGGCAAGGTCATGACCTATCCTGACCCAACTCCTGTGGAAACAGAACTCCTCCAGTTCCCCCAATTCTCATTTACGCAGAGGCACCACCTCTCTGGTCTTTTCACATGGCTCTGCACCAGGGAAGCTGCTTCTAGACAGACCCGGTAAGCCCCAGGGAGGCCTGGCTGCCTCACAGAGCATGGTGAGAGCCAGAAATGCTTCCAAAAGCTTGGCAAAATGCCAATGTGACTTCAACGTATGCACAAGAGCAGAGTGGAACATCATTTCCAGGTGGTGTGATAAAATAGATTGGGACAGTGACTCCAGTACAAAACTGAAGTCAGACACTGTTAATTAAAAAAATACACACACACACACACAAAAACATCAGTATCGTCTAATAATTTGGGTAAAAAGTATAAAATCAGAACATGTACAGCAAAATGTTCCTATTCACACACCCTCCGGGTTCTAGAGGAAACTGAGGCCTAATCTGGTTCACTAACTCGTTGAGATTCTAGAGCAAGTGAGCTGCAGAATTTGGAATGGAAACCAGATTCCCCCAATTCCTCATCTTTCCTATGTGTCCTCTTGCTCCTACTACCTGCTAGGATGAAAGCAACTGTGTACAGTGGGTCTACACTCACGTCTGTGGCTCACCTCGTGGTAATGTCTGCATGATGAATTATCAATGATAAGCGTTTAATCCAAGACTGACATTAGCCAGTGGGTGGTGAAGAACTGTGAGTTGCTTCGGCAGCTCATCATTAGAAAAGGCAATGTCTTTAAAATGTCAAACACCAGAGTGGCGACATTTAGGTGATCCACACCACAACTATTTGGTGTAAACCGCCTGTTTTCATAATTGATACTACAATAACACCTTACACTTTCATGGAGTTTCTGCTGATGACCATGGCTCCTGAACACAGTTTCTGAGTCGGAGGGAACTGGCCTAACACACTCAACTTGCAGGAAGAAAAGGGGAATAACTGAGACTAGTCCGTATCCAATGGGCTGTTCCTGCTCAAATGATCAGCACAAAACGACACTACTTCCTACCGTGAGCCCTGAGGCTATGCCCTCAGGGTGGCAAGGATGGGAGCAGTGGGCTGTCACTTACCTTGCTGGTCTCAAACTTGTCTCCAGGCTGGTGGTAGTCAAACCCTGGACTGCCGTTGGAGGTAGATATTTTCAGGGGTGGCAGCGAGGGGTTATAGCTGGAGCCCTTTGGGGGCTTCTCAGAGCCCACGGGGATGGAGGAGTAGGGCCGGGGGCTGGCCTGGGGAGTCCTGGCAGGGGGGGCCCTCATCACAGCTGAGCTCCTCTCCTTCCGCTGGTACTCAATGGGCGACTGCAGTGCTGCGGAGAAGAGTGACGGTTACTCTGGGGCTCCCCCAAGGTGTGGGGGCTTCTTAGGTACGGGCTCCATGCCAGGCACAATGGAGATACAAGAGGAAGACGCTACCCTGGTCGTTCTACTGTGAAAACGAAGAAACCTACCTGAATAATGAAAATGCAAAACCCAAGCAGTTGCCATAGGTGAGGTGCAAAGTGTCGTGCGAAAGGAGGAAGTGTGAGGCGTGGGTGCCTGTGTACAGGTGGTGGCGATCAAGAACTTCAGAGGAGGGCCGGCTGTCAGGCCGTGAGGGGCAGGCTCCGCAGGAAGGAAGCAAAGGTGGCGTATGCCTGGGATGGAGTCAGTACAGGCTCATGAGTCTGGATTTGATTCTGAAGATCATGAAAAGTGATTGGATGCATGAACGTGAATGTTTTCAATTCAGACTCTCTGACCAGCCAGGCTTGGAGGACATTAACCTTGAAGCAACTGGGAGGAGAGACTGGAGAGGCTGAGATGAAAGAAACAAGCGAGAAGCCCGGCCCAACCAGCAGCCGTGGGTATATGGAGGGACCTATGTGACAAGTGTTCCGGAGGCAGACTGGACTCCGACCTAGCCCAAGTGGTAAGGAAGGCAAGAATCGAGGGCCACAATGGTTTGGAGACTGGGAGAACGGTTGTCAAGGGGACAGAGGAAAAGCTGACTTGAAAGGAAAGATGTGGGCTTTGTTTCACTGAGTTTAAGATAACAAAGTTCCAAGGTCTGAGTCCTAAAGAGGTACAGCCAGACAAAGGCCAGCCGGGCCAAATTCTGCAATGACGACATCAAGGACTAGCCCGATAATGCTGGTTTTATCAGTCTTCACTGTAATAAATACTTCTGTGGGTTACCAGCTGGGGCTCGGAGAACTTTCCAGTATAAGAGGATTTCTGCAGTGATCAGTATGAACTTCAACAGGATCCAACATCAGCCACAGTGCCTTCCTATCTGAGGCCTCCGGAGGGAAAGATGGGCTCTGAGATGCCCGCACAGGTCTCTATAAGCCTGCCTGGCCCTGGGCCATCATCACGCCCTTGTCTCCTGAGTGTATCCAAGCGCAGAGCAGGATCTGCCTGAGCCCGGCCTTTCTCCCGAAGAGAGCTCGGTGGCCTTAGGTACCGAGGTGTCTATGATCTGGCTCAGCAATAGTTCCACAATTCACTAACATTAGAAGAAAGGTCTCTTGGAACCAGGGCAAAGTCTGAATCCCTGACTGCTCAAAGGAATGCAGTTTTGCACTTTCAAAAGCAGAGAGACTTAAGTCGAGTTGTGAAGCAGGCCTTGTCAGACTGACCTCCTGAAGCAATACCTGCTATGGAGATGGGGTGCTCAAATGTTTGCATCGAGTCTGTATTCTGAAGTAGACCACCTCCGGAGCCTGTGTTCTGCCATCAGCCTCGATGTGCATGACATAGGTCTTCGAATGGGGAAAACTGAGCCTCTGCTGACAGGGTTTGCTTCCGGCTGGTGGGCACAGCGCTTATGCCCGTTCCTGTTTCTTTCTTTGCTTTGTTGGCTGGAGAGTCACCTATGTGTGTTCTACACTAGCAACTCTACTGCAGTTTTGTGGTTAAGAACCGGATTTTAGGTTATATAGTTCTAGGTTCAAGTCCTTGTCTTTGTGACTTTGGACAAGTTTCTTAACCTCTCTGAGCCTCTTTTCCTCACCTCAAAAATATATGACGACAGTCCTTACCTTTCCATGTCGATGGGAAGACTAAATGTGATAATACGTGTGAAATGCTTAGCATGGTGCCTGGCACCAAGAAAGAATGGCATCTGCTATTTCAATTATTTCCAGCTTCATTCTTTTTCTCCTCCCTTGTTTTACTTTGGTCCCGCATTAATGCACTTAGAAACCTCATTCCAGCTTAGAGTCTATCAGAAATTCCCGATAGAGTGAAAGTTAATAAATGTATTTTATATATGCACATATTTTTTTGTATAAGATTATTTTATCAGCTTAATTGTTAATTCACAGTTGTACATTTAGACACTAAATTATATACAACTTTCATTACTATTCCTCAGGGCGAGGCTGGTGTTTAATTTTAGACTTTTTAGAATGAAAATAAACCTAAAGATCACTTAATTTTTTTCTCTCAAAATATTCTATAGTTGGGGGGCCAGGGAACATCACCCAGAAAGACTTTCTGTAAGTGTGAAACTGCTTCGAAGTCTCATGCTCTATCTTAAGAAGTCACGGCATCCTTCAATGTGATTTCTTTGTTTTAAAATAAACACAGTGTGTTAAACCTCTTATCGGGGAGTAAAACTGATACTGCAGGGAGGTGTGCCATGTTTTCCTATTTCCAGGGTGGCTGGCACGCCATGGCAATGCCAGTGTGGGTGAAGCACTGTTTCGCCTTTCACAAAATGAGCTGACTGAGGTCCAAGGAAAGATCCTTAACTAGTATATGACCTTTAACCTTTTCCCACAGCACTCAGGCCCATGCTGGACATCGACTAATGCTCCATTTGCATCATTTGACCGTGGAAGGAGGTGTGTGTGTGTGTGTGTGTGAGTGTGTATGTACGCACATACAGGCCTATGTGCTTGCTGAGTCTCTGGTTATAACTTGCTTTGTTACTGGTTATATTTTGCCTTCATCTTCAAGCTCCATTTCTGCTCAGAGAGGCACCTGAGCTCATAACTACGCAGATTACCATTACTTTAACCTTGCACATGTCCTTTCCCACACCAACCTCAATGTGCAGAAGATCCCCGAGGGGAAAACAAATAAAACAATGTAAATAAGATAGCGGCTCCACTTCATTCCAGACCACACAGCCCATTAGGGGACTCCTGCAAGGTCCACAGAGAGCTACATTCTCTGCGTCATCAACCTGTTCTAGGAAGTTCAAGGTATTACTGAAATTTGTGTGTGACCACCTCTTATTAGAAGAGAGGATTTGGGCAGGCTCTCACACTGTTGGGAGCGGAAGGGGCATTTGAACTGATCTGCCAAATTCCCAGTCTCTAGGTAACAATGAAGAACCTGTCAGAATACTGGCCATCAGCCACCAAAGGAGAACGCACATGTCACTGATGTCAGCCCCTAAGGGAAAGAGGGGGGCCCATCTCTCAATTTTGCCCCAATTATGACCAGCCGGTGATGGTGGCCACGAGGCACATGACCTGTGTATTGGCTAAGGGAGTATCCCTGCCCTTGGAGAGATGGGGCTTCTTTATAATGCTCCATCTGTTTCACTGGCGCATTCAGGTTCAGAAAAATTCTAAACGAAGTGTTTCTGAAAATGATGAAGTTGAACTCCATACAAAGTGTGATCTGGGCTAAGAACTCACCATAAGCCCAGACCCAAGGAGGCTCAGGGGTGTAGGGTGCCATGAAATCGCCCTGCTAGAAGCCAGGCCCAGGACCCACCATTTAAGAAGTCTCGCTGTGTTTCTAAGACTTGGCTGATGTCCTGCACCCAGGCCTGCTGGATGTCAGCGTTGGCGGCCTGCAGAATGACCCTCTCCGAGGTCTCCCTGTTCATGAGCGCAAACTTGCAGGGGTCACGGTCCACGTCCTCCTCCAGGACCAAGTGATTCATCTGGAAGACACCAAGGTGATCTGTTCATATGTAAGCAGTTTAATAAAAATCAACAACGTATCACAGTTCCAGGGAAGGTTTTATTTCAGGAGGTGTTTCCAAATTTTGCCCTGGATCCAACAGCTAAGACTTTGGTCTCTGTCTTGGAGGCCTGCAGGATCCTGCTACCGACGGGCACTCCCCTGTCACTTTTCCCCACAGATGCTCATCCTTCATGCCCGAAAGGATAGGAGGCTGAAAGATCTCCAATGTTCAGGATCCTGACTCATTCCATGCCTTTTGTCTGGCTCTTCCTTGTCCCTTCTCACCCCCACGGGATCCTCACCTTGATGCTCCTTTTGAACATGTAGCCCGGGGTGACAGAGCCCTTCCTGAGCAGTTCGCTGAAGATGACAATTTGCTCAAAGAGGAACACACGCCTCTCCTTGGTCCGGGATTGCATGCCTGCGTCCAGCTCAATCACGTAGAACGTGTCCTGCTGCAGCAGCTTCCCCTGAGCGGTCAGTGTGCCCTGATGGAGAGAAGGGCTGGGGTGAAGCAGATGAAAAACGGGGACACCACCACAGCCCTCTGGGTCCAGATTCTCCCCTCTATGGACATGGACAGCAGACGTGAAACCCAAACCCTCCAGGCTTAGTAAGAATCTGAATTAGGACCTGCCCATTCATCTGGGGTAGCCACAAGGGCCGTGAAGGGAAAGAGAAAGGAGGCTAAGGAACTACTAAGAAGCAGCTTGAGAGTAATGCCAGAAGGAAGGTAAGATGATTAACTAAAGAGATGTTCAGAAATGACACTGGCCCTTATGTTTTATTAGAAGGAAAATAGAAAGGAAGTGGCACTTAGAGCTCAAAGTGACCTTTCTGTACCTGAAGCTCTGAGAAGTGTGCCTTCCCCAGTTCCCTTGCAGCATGGGCCCATGACATGGAGTTCTCCAGAAGCTTAGAGTCAACCGTGGCCAGGAGAAGTGATATAGGCACAAACACACATAATCTGATGCATTGGGCCCTTCTTTTCTCCTGTTATTTCAAAATGGAGGAAATTCTGAAGCCTTCGTCTTCTACAGGCTAACAGGTAAAGTTTGGGTCCCACAGATTTATGTCCAAATTTTATAAGCTGATAGGTATTTTTTTAAGGCCCATAATCCTTTTTTTAAAAATTGATTTTGAGAGAGGAAGGGAGAAGGATAGAGAAAAACACCATTGTGAGAGCAAAATATCAACTGGCTGCCTCCTGCATGCCCTCCACCGGGGATTGAACCTGCAACCTGTACATGTGCCCTGACTAGGAATCGAACTGGCAACCTTTCAGTGCACAGGACAATGTCCAACCAACTTAACCACACAGGCCAGGGCTTGCAATCCTTCTATTTTGTTGTTAATCCTTACCCAAGGATATTTTTTCCATTGATTTTTTTGAGAGAGTGGAAGGAGGGAGGAAGAAAGGAAAGGAGAAAGGTAGAGAGGGAAACAGAAAGGGAGAGAAACATCAATGTGTTGTTCCATTTGTTGGTCTCTGAAAGACCACTGACTAGAGGATCAGCATTTAATTTGCTGCCTGATTCAGGTCAGAATTCATAGGAACTGTGCCAAGAGTCAACCAACATTAATTGGTTGATTCTTGTATGTGCCCTGACTGGGATCGAATCTGCAACCTTGGTGTGTCAGGATGATGCTCTAATCAACTGAGCTACATGGCCAGGGCTTTTAATTTTCCTTTCATGTTCCTGAGTAACACCTTCCCTCTTCTTGGATCATGAGAAGGATAGAGAAAAACACCATTGTGAGAGCAAAATATCAACTGGCTGCCTCCTGCATGCCCTCCACCGGGGATTGAACCTGCAACCTGAAAGTCAACCATGGCCAGGAGAAGTGATATAGGCACAAACACACATAATCTGATGCATTGGGCCCCTCTTTTCTCCTGTTATTTCAAAATGGAGAAATTCCACGGTTGACTTTGTCAAGGTCAGCAGCCAAACAGGCTTATCTCTACCCTGGTCCAAAGTTAATATTAAGCTGGTGACTAGTAAGCTAGGAAAGATTTAAAAGCTTTATTAATATTACATAAAAGCCTGACCCATAAGTTATAGCCTTGCCAATGCTCAAGGGAAAGCTAGAAGATTTAAAAGTCAGGGAATCTAAGTGAAGAGGCTACCTCCTTCCTGGTCCAAAGCCATGGACTTCAGAAGGAATGGAAATATGTTCATGATCCTTCCCAATTAACTGAAGGTATGCAATGCAGATTTTCTGGGGCTTGAGGAAAAAAGCAGATAGTGGTACTTGATTTAAGAGAAAATAATTGCCCTACCCAGTGTGGCTCAGTTGGTTGAGCATCAACCTGTTGCACCAAAAGGTGGCCGGTTCAATTCCCGGTCAGGGCACACTTCCTGTGAAGTGTGACGTGAATCATGCAGCGAAGCAGATGCTGATCCTCTTGTCTGTGGCCTCTTCAGAGACCAAGAGAAACTCAAGTCAGACTCTTGCTCAGAAAACATGGGGCCGTCAAGGTTTAAGAGCAAAAGGCATTATTTGCCTTGTTCAGAATAGCCTCAGCCCTGGCATAACTACAAGGAAAAAAGTATAAAACTTCATCTAGGATGATTAAAGAAGCACTGTGTAAGAAGTCAGGTATGCTGCTGCTGTGTAACCCTGCTTACTCTCCTCCTAGGTCTACCTGGGAGAACTGGGAACCTATCAAAAAGAACAGCAAAGAAGACCCTCCACATACTTCCTGGACACAATAAAGCAATGGAGATCAGAGAGGGACACCAGGATGGGCTATAAGGGCAAGGAGGACACAAGAATTTGTCTCAAGAACACGATGGATCCAACTCAAGAACCCAAAGCTAAATATAGTGTTCCAAAAATTACTATGGGCCAGTCTGCCTTGTATCTAGTCTAGTCTACCTCTTTTAATTTAGCCAGAAGGGAAAAGGTTCTTAATTATGTCAACTTTCAGAAATCTTCCCCATTCTCCAAAAAAGGAATAATAAAATCTTAGATTGCAGGATTACTGGGATACAGGGCTGAAAGATTCACCTCTTTCTCTACATGGCTCAACAACTACATGCCAGTCAATAACTGTGTCTGTTTCAATATCACCATATTGATACTCAACAGATTATGTTTAGTTAATGTATGATGTTTAGATATAAGCTAACAACAGCCACTTACTAAATTAAATTAGAAAAATCGACCTGTTCTTTAAAGGTTGAACTGTATCCCCCACAATTCACATGTTGAAGCCATAACCCCAAGACTTCAGAATGGGACCTTATTGGGAGGTAGGGTCCTTAAAAAGTTAATGTGAGGCTGTTTTGGTGATTCTTATTCAAGAGTGATGGGTGCCCTTATAAAAAGAGGAAATTAGGACACAGAGGGCAGATGATGTGAAGATACAGGGAGAATACCATGTGGACATGAAGGCAGCCATCTACAGGCCGAGGACAGAGGCCTGAACAAATCTCTTTCCCACAGTCCTCAGAAGGAACCACCTTCCTTGATCTTGAGTTTGGACTTCTAGCTTCTAGAAATGAGTTGATAGAAATGAGTGGAACAGGATTCTCCAGTTCTAGAAAAATATTCCATGTGTAAATTAATACTCGCCACTCCTCATCCTGCTCAACAGCTGTTTGCAAGGATAGTCTGTTGTTGAAGTCACCAGTCTATGGTACTTGGTCATGGCAGTCCACTTAGGCTAGTTCACTGAGTGTAACCAAAATCCTAGCTATCTGTCCTAAAATTTGATTCTCCTCTTTAAAGAACAGAAGTGTGCACTCTGATGTTTTAGAGCTCTGACTGTTTGTTTAATCAAGCCACTAGGTAGACCTGTCAATTAGAGACACCCTTAAAAAAAAGTGCTCCAGTCTCCCTTGGTTCTATTCACATCGCAGAGGCCTGCTCCCCTCACACAGCTCACATGCCTCAAGCAGGGGAAGAGGGAAGAGACCAGCGCCAGGTCCACAGGGATAAACAATCTGGGGTCTTTCAACCCGTTTGGAATTCTGACTCCAGCGTGGGTGCCTGCTCTGTGACTTTCTATGACTGTGCTATCACTGGGTATCCCACACAGATGAGGCATCGAGGCCTGTGCACCAGAGAGGCCCGACGGGCCTAAAGGAGGAGATGGGGCGAAGGAGGCAGAGGAGGCGGGCACAGGACTTCAGAGGAAGCCTACTCCATCCAGGCTCCTGAGGCCCAGTGAGGGAGCTGAGGTGCATTCTTGGGGGCTTACCTCAAAGCCCTGCAGGCGCCCCAGATTCATCATGTCATTGCAGCGTTTTGGAACAAGGCACATTAACTCCACTGCTTTCTGTCGGGAAGAACAACAGCAGCTCAGGAGGGGGAATGGGAAGCTCGGGGTGATTTCATGCTGGAAGGCAGGGACCTCCTGGTGGTTCCTTGATTCAAGGAAACAACACTGGTCCCAGAGGACTGGGAGACTCTGCTCTTGGGGGTGAGGGGTGGGAGGGAGAAGTTGCTGGTCACCAGTGCAGGGGCAACACGTGAACCAGTGACCACCTGTGGGGAGAATGCTGCCCAGCCCATCCTTTTCCTACCTTCCCACTTTTGGTTATCAATTCCCTCCTCTTGTTATACGTTCTTCCTTCTCTCTGTTGTTTTCTAGCTGCCTAAGCAACGGCTTAGCCTGGCTTGTGAAGCACTGGAGGTTTTAACCTAAAATAACCTTCCAGAATGGTCTGGCTTAAAACAATCCCCATGGTGACACTGTCTCAAAGGACCGCCTAAGGAGTGATCTTTGGGGGCGGGGAGGGAGTGAAAATGAAATGCTTTGTATGTTAGACTCAAACAGTACCCGGGCTCATGGATAAAACTGCACTGAAACACGCAGTCTCTGAAGGATGTCAGAGGGCCCACAGACCATTCCTTCCCGCCACGTGTCCCCGGGGGCCACAGCAGAACACCAGGGGGCTAAGCTTTGACCTGGCCCAGGACAGGATTAGCTCCATGTGTTAATGAATACTCGCTGCTTCTCATCCTGCTCAACAGCTGTCTGCAAGGGGCTCTTTCTGTCCTAGAGGAGCCAGCCTGGACGCTGGGTCTCCAGAGCCAATCTTTCCCCTTTCAAGACAGACACCCAATAGTCGTCCCTACAACAGTCAGCATCACAAGCAGGAAACTCACCTCGATCTCCGAACACTCCAAACCCGCCTTCTGGCTGTATCTCAGGAAGTCCTAGTAGGCCGGGGAGGCGAGAAAGGGGATGGGAGGGTGAAATCAGTTAGGAAAATAGTCAGAGCTATAAAAACCCGGCATCGCAGACACTGTGGCAACACCCAGAGACATTCCTTCCCTGCAGACATGGCGATGCTGGGTAGTAGCGGGAAATGGGGCTATGAGTCATACTGTACATATGTCACAGAGAAGCTCCAGTATACGCAAAGATTCAACATTCTGAGACAAGGGAGGGAGCAAGGGAAGTTAAGTCTCTCTACCATATACCCCCTTCTCTGTAAGACGAATTAAATTAAGCCATTACAGAAAGTAAAACATGATCAAATTTAGGTATTACTACTCATCTAAGGCTTGTAGGGCCTTTCCTTTCCTTTCACCTGTACAGTGGGTCCTCGGGTTACATCAGAGATCCCTTCCTATGGCACCACATAACGAGATTTTCCCAGTAAAGTCGGAACCCACCTACACAAGCACCTACATCACTCATATGGCGCACATACACAGCAATAATGAAGTGAAATAGTAAAAAAAATTTAAAAGAAAGATAACAATTCCTGACCTTTACTTGTGGTAAATAAATAATAAAAAACATAAAACACATACGTACGAATGTCTACATGATGGAACTTTTTTTTTTTTTTTTAAATAAATAAATGGGAGATGGCGACATAACCACGAAATGGCATACATCGAGTCTGACATAACCTGAGGACTGCCTGTATTCCACTTTGATTTTATGCTCTTGTTATTTTTTAATTTCTTGAAGATACCAAGTCAGTGATGGTGACAAAATAAGACATTGGGGGGGAAAAATGAATTAACCAACCTTAAAGGTAGGAACAACAGGCATACAATCTATTTCAGGGCAAAGTGGAGACAAGAAATAGCCAACCAAGAAAGAAGCTCACACGTGCCCCCATGAGTCCATGGAATAGCATGGTGTAGACAGAAACATAGCTAACCTGTTTGCTAGCTAAGAGCCATGAAGACCCTCCCCTGGCCTGACCCAGGCTCCCGGCCCTCTTACCTTGAGAAGCAGCTGGTACTTTGTTATTCTCTGAATGGGCTTGATAAGGAAGTCACTAAGCGTCAGCCTTTGATTTATCTCTTGTTTCACCTCCTGGAACACAAGGGAAGTGGTATTAGAAAAAAAAAGGAACCAAAACTTGGGGTATTCTAGGTCAGGGTTCAAGGCCAGTTAGATAGGAGGTCATGCTTGCCACTAAAGTTTTAGAATCTTCAAACCAGGCAAGAGGCAGAACTGCCTACACTACTGCTAATTTGTTATTAATAACAGAACACATATCATTACCCTCTGCCTCTCAATCACTGTCATAGCCAGTGTCCTGGCCCGGGTCCTGGGGACAAGTGGGAATGGTATTCTGTTCTCCAAGAGCTTCTCCCAGGACACAAGCCTGGGGCCCTCTGCTCAGATCTGCAAACGCTCTTTCCAAGTGATGGCTTTCTCTCCACCAGCAAAACACACACACACACACACATGCACACACATCCAAGCTGGGGCAGAGCAAACATTTTCGGGTGCTTGACAGAAACTCTGGGGATGGACGCGGAGACTACGAGGTGACTGCGAGCACCTCAGCAAGGTGGAGGCCCCTCAGCAGGCAGTCTCCAGGCTGGTACAGTCTGCCCTGGGGCTCGGGGGAGGCTTCAGCTTCGAAAGCAGCCTCAGCACCGCAATCACTCTGAGCACAGAGGCCTCTGAAAGCAGTCCATACCCTCGGCCCCTCCACTCCTCCCATGCAAAGGGGTTCTTGGAATCAAGCTAGGAAGCTCAAGGCTGTGTTCCTGTCTTCTAGGAAGCTCAAAGCAGCTGTCCCTGTCTTGGATGATGGCTGCTGTTTCTGAATGCGGCTGTCTTGGTCTGAATTTCTGCCCCCAACGCCTCCCACCAGTAAAGCCAGCGCAGCTTACTTCAAAGTAGGCGTCGTACTCGGCCACAATGTACTCGGAGCGTGGCTTGTTCTGGCAGTACCACACGTAGATGTGCAGCTTCCGCTCCTGCAAGGACAGAGGGCAGGCGCTCAGACACCTCCCGTCTCCCACAGAACCTGAGTCTAAGTGCTGTGCTGGGCTACACGCTGGGGGGACAAACACATGGTCCACACTCTGGGGGTGTACCAAGGCAATGACATAGCAAAAGCAGAGGAAGGAATGGAGTGGCAAGAACCCATTGTCCAACAACAAGTTAAACAACAAATCAGAAAAAGATGAGAAGGAATAGCAGCAGAGAGAGGAATTTAAAAATGCATGGAGTTGCCTACCCAGTGTGGCTCAGTGGTTGAGCATCGATCCATGAACCAGGAGATCATGGTTTGATTTCTAGTCAGGGCACATGCCCGGGTTATGGGCTTGATCCCCAGTGGGAAGATGTGCAGGAGGCAACCGATCAATAACTCTCTTTCATCCCTGAGGTTTCTATCTCTCTCTCCCTCTCCTTTCCTCTCTCTGAAATAAATAAAAACATATTTGCGGGAAACCAATTCCAGCATGTAATAATTACAAGAGTTCCATCAAAAGGTTGATGGAACTTGAAGGGCTCAACCAAGGTGAGTCACATATGCACTTTACCTGTTGGAATGGCTAAAGGGCACTTCCCCCAAACCTGAATATTATTGTCTGCTGCCAGACTGCTCAGGGCATTTTATTGCCTCATGTTGGCCAAATACCTGAACAGCTGTAGGCTATTCCCCAAACTGATAATGCTTCTGTAGTCTACCCTTTGAAACCTTACCCTTTGAAGTGTATATCTCCACCTTGCCTTAGGACAAATTGTGTTAAATAAATAACATGGGGAGGAGGGGAGGTCCTTAGACAAGTAGTCTTCAGTTCCTTTAGATGAAGATCCTATGACCCCCAATGCCTTTCAAAATTATCTTTCGTCTTTGGACTCCTTCTTGAATCTATGCATCAGCCCCTTTCTACAGAATGCTGAACCCTTTGTAAGGCTGGGATAAGAACCCCGACACATATTTAAAAAATAAAAAAATAAAAAAAAATGCATAGAAGTGAGGCTGGTATAAGGGGAGGGGAAAAAGGCACAGGAAATACTCACGTGTTTAATGAAGAGCTGGGCCAATCTGTCTTGCTCCTGGATACATTTTTCTAGTTCAGCCAGGAAAAAGCTAAAAGGTGGGAGGGGATAAAGAAGGAAGCCACAAACATAAAGAACATTATAAACCGTTGAACAAAAATAAATAAAAGGCAAAGAAGCATCGAACAGACTGTGAAACTATAGCAGGAAGGCAGGGGAGGGATAGGGGGCTAAGAGATCAATCAGAGGACTCGTATGCATGCATATAAACATGACCAATGGATGCAAGACACTGGGGGGGGGGGGGGGCGCGGGCAAGTGCCGGGGGGTAGAGGAGGCTGAGGGGAGGTCAATGGGGGGAAAAAAGGAGACATATGTACTACTATTTGTAATACCTTAAATAAATAAATAAATAAATAAAGGAAGCCACATTCTTCAGCACTGTGCAACTTCTCAAGACTGAGGTAAATGACGAAGACTCTCCCCAAAGGTCAGATGCAGGGTGAGGACGGGGAAAGTCCTGGATTCTAGGACGCCCGGATCCCAGGACAATGTAGTACTTACTCCTTATGCCAATCATAAATCTGGTGAATGTTTCCAAACACGATTTTGTCCTTCCCGCGCATGTCCTCCGGGACACCCTTTTCTTCTATCCTCTTCATGAAGCCCTGTGGGCAGAGGCAAGGAGGAGCTGAGCAGTTTTTACGAGAAAGCTTTCTGGGTGAGCACCACACTGCAGCCCTTTCTGCAGGAGCTTGAGGGCAAGTGCCCCTGCCTGTGGTTTCTCACTATTCAACCAGGACTTCACCCTTGTGCAGAGTGAGACATAACACTTCTATGAATTTCTAAGAAAGCAGAACAAAGGAGAAACCACCTGCTCCTCTTCCTTCTCCCAATCTGAGGTCTATTGTCTTTCAAGGCTCAGAACTAGATGCATCTGGCCTAGAAATAAGTCTCCCTGTGTAAATACTTGAGAGTCTAGAGAATGCCATCATGTATAATCTCACTTTAGCTTTTAAGTCAGGCTTTGCGGTTGCACAGGCAGCACGTACCCTGTCTGACAGATGAGAAGCTGAGACACTGGGGAGACAGTGCTCTGTCTTATAGTCGCACCAGGGATGTCTGGCTGCCTTGCAGCTCCGTCTCCAGTATCCCGAGCCCCTCACTCCTAGACTGCCTGCAGGTGCAGGATGCTACCCCCCTGCCTGCCCCATCCTTCCTTGGAGAAGAGAGGAACTTTCTATAAGTCAGAACTCAGGTCCGTTGCACGCCAGACTAGTTCATTTACCCAAGGTTCAGGATAAGCAAATACAACCCTAAGTCAGCAGGTCTCACAGGATGGGGACTTACAGGTCCGATGTGGGGCACCGGCAGGTGACGTAGGTGCCAGACATTCAGTGTTTAGAATTCACATGATTTGTTTAAGATGTTTAGCCACAGGGCTCTAAGCCATCTAAATTATCCATTTACTTTCTTTGACTTTCTCATCCCAGTGTCTAAATCTCCCTAAGGTAAACCCCTATGGAGAAAGGGCTGTTTTATTTACTGCCAAAGCTGACTCTGAACTGTGGACCTGCCAATCTTGTCTGATTGGTATTTTTTTTTCTTTGTCCGTCTTCTTGGTAGTCATAACATTTCCCGTAAAAATCTAAGAAAACGGATAAGCCCCAAGGCATCACTAGAAGTGACCTGCTTAGTGCAGGTCCTGGTGGCTCATGGCACTGAGGAATACATAGCCACATGGATGAACACCAGTGAAAAGCTCTGAGACAAAAACGTAGTCACCTAAAACAAGGCGAGAGGCTCAGCTCTAACCAAGAGGCTGCAACACTTGGGGCCCTGCCTCCCTCTAGTTCTCTTGTAATATTCAAGGGGGGAGGAAGGGAAGAAAGCCTTACCTGCATATTCAAGTTCATCTATTACCATTTCTAGTTTCATTTCTGCAAATATCTGGAGAGAAAACACCTCGTCCCAACAAGGGCCCATTATGTCCCCGGTTGGGTGAGCAGACCCACCCCGAGCCATCCACTCACCTCCACCACAACTCCCAGGTCCTTGACATAGTCCTTCTCGGTCTGTACCAGCTCATTCAGGACAAACCTGAGTGGGAGATGAAGAACAATGAGGTTCCTCTTAATTGTGAAGCAAGGACCCTTCACACTTGAGCTCACAGGGAAGTGACTCTGGTGCCTTTGTGGCGAGACCACCCCAAAGCCCACACTTGGCGGGTGCTCTCTCTACGAGAGGCTGGACTGCTGGGGGCACGGAGGCCGAGAAGGCTTTCCTAGGGGGCACACACAGTCAGACAAAGAACGCCTTGCACAACCCAGCATTCCTATTCCCGTTCTTTGTGCTTCTGCCTCCGTTCACGTGTGACTGAACAATCATACGGACACAGGGCAGAAAGAATGACCACCACTTTGGCAAACTTAAGTTATGAAAGAGTTGAGGCCAAAGGGATCAGCGTGAGACTTTTCAGCTCTGTTCTTCGCTTCACAAGAGGAGAAAGACATTTGTCTGCTGGCCACCTTTTGAGGCCTTGGAGATACTGACAGTATCTCAGAAGCCACAGTTCTTCAGTTACGTGTTCATGGTGACTGGCCTGCAAAATCCCCAGTCAAGGCCCGCAAGGCTGACTGCAGACTCTCCGGAATCACAACTTTGAATGCTTAACCTCCCGACCCACCGGCAGAGGTAGGATTTAACGACTTCAAGGGCTTTTGCTTTCCTGGTTTCTTTCTTGTTCATGATTCCTTCTTGGAGCACTTGCCAGTTGCATCGCTAGGGTTTTCTCATGCTCAGAACAAGGTAGGGATTGTAAGCCCTACTGTAAACAGACGAGAACGCTCAGGCAGTATCGCCCAAGAGGACAACGTGAGTAGCAGAGCGCTTTCATGGTAGCCACCGCCTGGGAAACTGCTTGGACTGGCTCTCAGGAGTCCCCAGGGCATCAATCCCAAACGCTCCTCCCTGAGTCCAAGCTGGACTCAGACTTGGATGGCTGTGCCCTGGTGCAGGCCAGGTGCTATGTGGTGTGCTGATGTCTGGAGCACGTTATCTACACGTGAAAGAGGTTTGCCTGGAGCTACACAACTGCATTTTTGGCCCAAGTAAGCAGAAGGGATAAAGTTCTGAGATGTCAAAGAAGGGCCCCAGCACAAGGGTTATAACCGCTCTGAACCCAGGAAGCAATTCATCTGAAATTCTTCATCTATATGGCACAGAGAAGCCACCAAGTTTCCGGGTCTGGGGCCTCGGGCGATGGGAGGAAGCAGGGAACACATGCTTCTTTATCAGCACACCCGGCGCACCCCCCTGCCCCCCTCTCTCTGAGACACACAATCATGCGTTGTAGGCCACAGGAAGGAACCGGGAAGGCTAAATAAAAGTACTTAAATATATCTTTAGCTCAGCCCAAGTTAGTGCTTGGGAGAAAGTGGTCAAAGGAAGCCCACAGGCAAGTTAGAGTGGGAACTGGGGGCTGGAAGGGTCCCATGGAGATGAGTCCAGCTCTGTATCCAGGCGATATTTTTATCCTCAACTGTCTGCTGAGACACTGAGGGCTGCCTCGGGAAGGGGGCTGGGCTGGGTGCTGCTAGTGCCCCTCGCATCTCTTCCCCGGGAGGGTTCTCTGATCCCTTCATGCTCCTCAAACTACTGCGACCCTTGCCCATCGCCCACCGCACACTGTGCACCAGATGGAATCGGGGAGCCACTTACATCCTGCCTCTCAAGGCCTTGGCTTTCTGTTCTTCTTCCAGGTTTCTAGTAGGTGTGGGCGGGGTCATCCCCTCATTCAGGCAGCCCGCTGGGTCCTTCAAGCTGCCCCGGTAGGAGCCTCCTTCTAGGCTCTGGGAAGAGAAGATGGAACAGCCTTAGAGAAGCGCACACTGAAAGTCAGCCGGAAGACCCGTGTTCCCACCCCGAGCGAGGCTGTTCTTCCTGGACCCAGCGAGGCCCCAGGAGACCAGAGACGCCCACCATCCTGCAGCAGGGAGCCCTGCGCGGCCCCTTCTCAGGCAGTCGGGGGGAGGGGCTGCCTGCCTGTGTCCCAGGCATGGGACATAATGAAGTTGTCAGAGTGATCTGTCTCTGGGTAAGGGCTCCAGAAGTTAAGCTAGTCATCACAATTCTACACCCAGCAAGCAGTTAGAAAAGAAAATTAGTTGTAGGAACATCAAATGCAAATGAACCGGGAGGACAGTGATAGGAAAACCAGTTGTTTACAATCATGTTTGTTTATTTAGTGACATTTGTTTTTGATGCAGTCAAGAGATTTAGCCTTTTCTAAAAACATGTTTTGTTTTCTAGGTTGACAAGGGCTTTTCTTTCACTTATTAACCCCTTTCATTTCTTTTAATTAAGTTGTTACAGGAATGAGAGGCCTTTCGAGGGATTACTATGGCACCCTAGAGAGAGCGAAGGGTAAAGGATTCCAATCCCAGATCTGCAAGGGCCTGGGCAACCTTAAGGAAGACAGCCAACATAATTCTATGCTTCAGGTTTTCTCAATTTGCAGATCAGAACTCTCCTTTATACACATTTCTGAGGAATAAATGTGCCTGGAAAGAAAGACCGCACAGGGACACTTAGCATTTCATTTTGCAAATTGGCAGAAGTAGGGTGGAGGAATAATACAATGGGGGAAGTCCGTGTGGGCAACTGTCAAACAAGGATGGGAGGTGAGACCCAATTCTCCACAGGCCCGTCCACGGCACCCCTGCGGCGTGAAGGCAAGGCTCACGTTCTCAGTCCGAAAGCATCAGCCCGAAGGGTGAAGCCGCAGAGATCAGAAAGTGTCCCTGAAGGCCACAGGAACAGAAGGCATCGGCATGGGCTTAACCTGCACTTGGACCATCTCTCAGCTGCTGTGTCTCAGCACAGGCCAGGGAGAGGCAGAGACAGTCCAGGAAAACGAAACAAAGATGGAAGCATGAGGACAGGTGGAGAATGTGAAGACCTAAAGTTGTAACACTTCAAGTTGAGAAGAGATGTCGACCTTCTCCTCCCCCCCTCCCACCCCTAGTGGATCCCCAAATCCACAGAACGTGCTGAAGGCTAAACAGGATTTTGTTACCAGCATAGAAACAAGAATAAGAGGACAGGGTTTCTAAGCTGGAGAAAGAGAACTCCTTTTAACTCGACAGGAAGGTATTTTATAGAACAAGTAATCAGCCATGGGCACCGTTATCCCGAGAAGCAGCCCAGGCTAAAAATATAGAAAGGTCAAGAAGAGTTTAGCTAAATTTATAGGTTCAGGATCTGTACCCAGTTATTAAGGAAATGAGTATCTGCTGCTGAGGCTTGACAAGCCCCGGACAGGCAGGCTTTTCAAATGACATGTGACAAGTCCCCTGGTGCCATCACTAGAGGCCAGCTCCCAGGCAGATGGACCCAGCTGCTGATTGATCTGATTACATGCCTTTCTCTTCCCTTCCCCATCCCCGTTGTCCTGGTACAGCCTTTGTTCTGCAGTCCGTTGGCCGGCAGGATGCTGGCTGCAAGGCCAGGGAAACAGGCTTATGTCTCTGCCTACAAAGCTGTCCTGTGGAGCATCCAGCCTAATGGGGTCCACTTTAACCCTTTTGCAGAATGAAGGCCACCTGAGGAGTCCAGTGTCATACAGAGAAATAGGTTCCATCGCCTCCTGCCTGACCTGCCACAGGAGCCTGAAGCCCAGGTTATCTCTGGGATGGAGCTGAGAAGGCAGAAGCTGTGGGAGAGGAAGAAGAGGGAAGTAAAAGGTTTGGCTATGCTGTATGCTGACTAATCTGCCTCAAATAATGGCGCTGGCTATAAATACCTACACCAGCTCAACTGTGATTCCCTCTGAGGACTTAGCTCCCCGGAGTTGGATACTGGGTCCCACTCCAGGGCCACTAGGGGTGACTTCCAGTTGTCTATGCTGCTCCTGGGGGCAGACAGGCAGTGGTGGTTGGCTGAACAGCGGTGGGCTGTGCACCACCCCGGGGAGGACTTCTCTCCCGCCAGGCTGAGGTCACTGCGGTCCCAGTAGACAAAGGAAAAGGTGTACAAAGGAGGGAGGGATAAAAGTTGCACAATGGGCGCTCCTATAGTTGGTCCAAGGTCAGGGAATAGAAGCGCAAATAGAATTTTTAAAAGTAGATTAAGCGTGGAGGAAGGCTACCCCATGTTAAAAATGAACACACTTCCTGTCTGCTGGATCTTGGATCACATACCCGCAAAACGCCCTTCCTTTGGACTCCTATCAGCACCCTTTACACACCCTGCATGGCATTCAGGGCGCAGTGTTGTAACTGAGCATTTCTTTATACTTCAGCAAATATGTACCTACACGCTGACTATCAGCAAAGTCCTGGAGAAACACAGATGACCAAGATATGGTTCCCTGCCCTCCATAGTCTAAGCAGTGGTTCTCAACCTTTCTAATGCCGCGACCCTTTAATACAGCTCCTCACGTTGTGGTGACCCCCAACCATAAAATTATTTTCGTTGCTACTTCATAACTGTAATTTTGCTACTGTTAATGAATCATGTAAATATCAGTGTTTTCCGATGGTCTTAGGCGACCACAGGTTGAGAACGGCTGCTGTAGAGTCTAAGACCATCGGAAAACACAGATATTTACATTAACAGTAGCAAAATTACAGTTATGAAGTAGCAACGAAAACAGTTTTATGGTCGGGGGTCACCACAACGTGAGGAGCTGTATTAAAGGCTCGTGGCATTAGAAAGGTTGATAACCGCTGGTCTAAGGCACATGGGTGGTCTTCCAGAAGAGGTACCCATGAGGGATGAAAAGAGGAGCAGACAGCTTCGTGGTGGGGCGGAGGAGAAAGGGAAAGGCTTCATGGAAGAGGCAACTCGGACTGAGTATTGAGAAAGATCTACCAATGGGAGGGCATTCCAGACAGCACTTTGAGAATAGGATCACCGTGTTCAACCCCCCGGGCAGCCTGGGAAGCTGCGGATTGCAGGGTGTGAAGTTGAGGGGTGGGGATGAGGGATAGGGAAAGAAGAGGTGAGGGATGAAATAGATAACCCTGGAGAAATATGCAGGGGCCCCATCAGAGGGAGCCTTGTATGGAGCATCAGGAAGTCGTGACTTTACCTTCTAACACCAAATGCTAGGAGGATTTTAAGCAGGGAAGTAACATCATTGAGTTTAAGTTTTAGAAAGATGGGTCTTAATGTTCTTTTTCATGAGTTGGGGAAATGTTGCTTCCCCATAAGATTCTAAAGGAAAACAGGCCTTAGATTTTGAACACTCTGTGATTGCACTGTCTAAAATAGTCTAGAAGTTTCAACACTATATCTAGATCAAGCATGTCAAACTCGAGGCTGGCAGGCCACATGCCTTGTTTATTTAAAGGAGGCATGTGGCCTGCCGGTCGGGAGTTTGACATGCTCGGTAGATGATGCTATTATGAATGATGCTATAATTTGTTCGTACTCTTGTCTTCTTTTCCATTTCTTTTTCTTGAATGAGCACATGTTACTTTTATTCTTAAAAAAGAACTATTAATACTTTTTTTTTTTTTTTTTTTTTAAAGAAAAAGACTAGATAGATTCCTCTGTCAGCCATGGAAAGAGAGAGCCTGAAATCTGGAGGAAATGGTTGCAACAGCCCAGGCAGGAGAGGATGCTGAACATTAACCCTAGACTGTGAGTCTCCTTAAGGAAGGTTCTGTGCTTGATCTCAGAGCCGGCACATAGTAGGACCCCAGAATTTACTGAATATGCTATGGAACTCTTCGGGAGAGGTCAAAGCTCATCTGATAAAACCACAGGTAATGTGTGGGCCCAGCACCACCTACCACACCAACCTCTTAGCTGCCCGCCTTTTTATAAAAATGTGTATACTCTCCTCTGGCCAAAGGTATCAGATTTCAGTCATTCCCAGGCAAGTAGGGTTGGGGGTAGGAGAAAAAAAGGAAGTCTGGCTTTCTCAGGCAAATGTCATTTCAGGTTTGTGACTTTGGGTTAAACATTTTTCTGGTAGAAATCTAAACTTTTCTATCTCAACAAGCTCAATACTCCTTTCCAGAGAGGGCTATCAGAGGAAGCCAGCTCCTGAAGACACACACCTCCACAGTGGGTATCCCAGGGCCATTATCTCCTCCAGTCTGCACTCTGAACTTCTGCTGTTCAACCTTGCAGCCAACTCAGCGGGCCAGGTCATCTAAAGGCGAGCAGGCACACCCACGAGTGCAGCCCGGCCCTGCCCATGCTACGTGCCCACCACAGTGGACCAAGGCTGACCAAGGTGAATGCTATCAAAGCGGGAGTCCTGGAGGGCGGGCAGGTGGACTCAGTCCCAGGGAGCCAGGCTCAGGCAGACTGAACAAGAGCTCAGTCCCCGGCAGCTCCTTCCCTCAAGGCGGAGGATCGTCAGCGAAAGGTCCACGGGGAACGACTGTGCTGTGCTGCTGATGACAGGAGCGCAGCGAGGAGGCTTTCTTTCTAGAGGCTCAGCCCTTCCTCTCCAGCAGGTGGGGGCATCTCGGGGCAGGTTAGAGACACACCTGACCAGGAAGCTCTGCTGCTCAAGCTCGAGGTATAAAACCAAATCATATACACTGAGTGGCCAGATTATCATGATCTCTGAACACATAATAATCTGGCCACTCAGTGTATGTGTGAGTGTGTGTGTGTGTGTGTGTGTGTGTGTGTGTATATATATATATATATATATATATATATATATATATATATATATATATTAGAGGCCCGGTGCATGAATTCATGCATGAACGGGGTCCGGCTAGCCTGGCCATGGGGAGGGGACATAGGGGGTTGGCTGGCCTGCCTGCTGGTTGAACTCCTGGTCGAGGGGACAATTTGCATTATTAGCCTTTTTATTATAGAG